ACAAAAAGAGGCATTTGTGGCCTTACCTCAATGTTGTCTCATGCAGTCAGTAATGATGTACTCAACAGCCATGATGACTGTAGTCAATGCAAGTGTGACAGTCTTGCTCTCAGATTTGATGATATCAGTATTCTTCAATTGTCCCTTTGTCCTTTCATGCGCTCCAGTCCAGTAACTCCCTATATAAACTCTTCTAACATGCTATTTGATCAATAAATGAATGCACGGACTCAAGCTGTGTTCACTCACCAACGATTTCACTGCATAAGATCAGCACTGAATACAAATGATTCAACAGAAATGATTAATGGAAACCCTAAAACTAGGTGACCTTATAGGATGGATAAATTCATGATCTGTTACACAATAGACAAAGAAATATGCTTCGGTAATGACTCAAACTGAGCATGTTGAATCATCTTTTTCCACTAATTGTCATTCCTTCACCATAAAATCCATCTCTTCTCAATTGTTTTCCTTGCAATAAGGCTGCTTCTCCATGGTGACAGCTATGTAACAGATCAGATACAATGTTCATGCATCTCAGTTAAATACAGTAGTAATGACAGCCAGGCTTTCTTTGCCACTATAACTGCTTTGCTGAATATATACATTACAATAAGCATATATGTGACAGTATTTGAAATGTTTAGGGAGCTCATTTCAGGGATATTTACTTGGAATAGGAACTTAACCGAACAAAGGGTAATTATTGCAAAATTTCTTCATGCAATTTGTTCTTTTTAGAAGTAATTCTCCAATGGTTCAACAAAATATTGAACAATATTGTATGGCAATGACAGCAAAAGTCTCTGATCTAAAACCCAGTTTATATTAAGATGCCTGATTTCAACAATGAGAGTGAAAAGTTAGCTTGCCCACAATCACCAACTGGTGATCCCGATTAGAAAGTGCCCATATTCAAACATCAGAAGAAGGAAGGATTGAGCAGACTAGGCTCCCTTATGAAGATTCCACACTGGCATGGAACTGGAGACTTGTCGATTGTTGTGGCTTTATGTCTCAGTAAGCTTCAGTATCCTCAGCATGGACAGATATTTGTCTGACTGGCAGAAAACAAAGAGTTTACTTAACTTGTGTCTTTTTCAGATTGCCAGGATGTCGTGAGTGTCATCCATTATTGCTGGGACCTCAATGTTTTAAAATTTACATCAGTGACTTAGACGAGGGGAGTCAATGAGAGAGAGAGACTCCAGATATTCTCAAATTAGGCAAGGGAATATGTTGTGCAGAGGGCATAATGACATTGCAGACTGATATCGATAGGTTGAGTGAGTGGGCAGATGGTCTCTAATGTAGAAAGATGTGAAATAATTACAGATGAACATGTAAATCAACAGCAGTATATAGATGTAGCCTGGGCAGTGCTCCATATTTTTGTATTCCATTCACCTTGCAATAAATCAAAAAATTCTATTGGCTTTTCTAATTATTTGCTGTACTTGCATACTATTATTTATGATTCATGCACCAGGACACCCAGATCCCTCAGCATTTCTCAGTTCTGCAATCTCTCACTATATAGGTAAATGCTTTTTTAAAAAAATTTCTGGCCAAAATGTACAACTCCATAGTTTAACAAATTATATTCCATTTGTTGCATCTTTGCCCAGTCACTTAAACTATTAATATCTTTTTGTAGGCTCTTCCTACCTATCTTTGTGCCATCAATATGCCTTACCTCTTCAAAGATCTACAATAGATTGGTCAAACAGGATTTCCCATTCACAAAATCATGTGGCTCTGCCCAATTACCATGAACGTATTCAAGTGTCATGTTACAATTTATTTAATAATGGCTTCCCACATTTTCTCTGAGATAGACATTAAACAAACTGGCCGGTAGTTTCCTGCTTTCCAACCTAATGGGAACAGCCCTGAATAGAGGGTGTTTTGGAAAGTGAAAACCAATGATTCAACTATTACCCTAGCTGTTTCTTTTAAGACCCTAGGACAAAGTCCATTAGGACCTGTACCTTGGTCAGGCTGCAGCGACAACAATTTGCTCAGTACAAATTCTCTGACTTTCCTGAGTTCCTTCCTCCCTTCCATTTCCTGAATTATTGCTGCTTCTGCAATATTACATGTATTTTTTATAGTGAAGACTGATGTGAAATACCTGCTCAGTCACTTCCCATTTCCTGATATTCTGTTATTAACTCTCCAGTCTCAATTTCTATAGGGTCTATGCTCACTTCGTTAACACTGTCCTGCTTTAAATATCTAAAACAACTCTCACTATTCGTCGTTTTTACTAATCTACCCGGGCAAGCTTTGAGAAATAAAGCAAAAACAGAAATTGCTGGAAAAGCTCAGAATGTTCTGAGGAAGTTTCACTCGATCCGAAACATTAACTCTGATTTCTGTTCACAAATGCTGCCAGATCTGCTGAGCTTTTCCAGCAATTTCAGTTTTTGTTTCTGATTTATAGCATCCGCAATTCTTTCGGTTTTTTTTTAATATCCAACTTTTGATTTTATTTTAACAATCTCTGCCTTTAAAATACTCAATATTTCCACCACTACTAACTTTTGAGGTGGGGAGTTCACAATTTGTACGATCGTCTGGCTAGTAAAATAACAACGAAAAGCAAAGGATTACTTAATTTGAAAATGACTCCAAAATGCCAAGATGCAGAAGGATCTAGGTATTCTAGCGCATGAGTCACCAAATGTTTGTATGCAGGGACAGCAAGTGATAAAAAATGCTGTTATCCTTTATAATGAAAGAAATTGAACATAGAGTTTAGGATGTTATCCTTCAATGAAATAGGTCAGTGATGAGACTAAGTTTTGAATACTGTGTGCAAATTTGGTCTCATTAAAGGAAGGATGTAAATGTGTTGGAGGTTATTCAGAGGAAGTTTACAAGACTGATTCTTGAAATTAGTGGATTGTCTTTTGAGAATAGGTTGATTGGATTTGTGTTCACTACAGTTTAGAACAGTAATTTGTTTGAAGTGTCTAGAATCCTGAATGGTCTTGACAAGGTGGATATGGAAAGGATGATTCTTCTTGTGGGTAAGTCCAGAACAAGGGATGTTATTTTAAATTAGGGATTGCATAGGATAGATTATTTTTTTCTCTTAGAGGGTTATGTAACTTTGGAACTTCCTGCTTCAGAAGATAGTGGAAGTAGGTTCATTAAGCATTTTAAAGGTTGGGGTAGATATATCCTTATTAAGGCAGAGAATCAAACGTTGGGGCTAAATGGAATTGTGGAAATCAAAACTCTAACATATCAGCTGTGGTCATAATAATTGGGAAGCAGTGTCAAGGGGCCAAATTACCTAATTTATATGTTCACATCTATGTTGATATGTTCAGGAGAAACAGATGATTAAAGGAGTGGAGGATGTACATTCTAAAATATTCCTTTTCTTCAGGAGTTGCCACGGTGCCCACTAATGGGACACCATGGGGACACATACTTCAAAATGTTAGTGGTTATGGATTGACAGGATAAGCCACTCAATCTATTTCATTTTCTAGCCTTCGGACCATAGCCCTGCTGGTTATAGCACACGAGATGCACATCCAGATACTTTTTAAATGATTTCCATCTCTATTACCTTTTCAGGTAGCAAGTTGCAACCTGTGTTCAGAATTTTCCTAGCCACCGAACAATGTTAGAAATGGCATATTCATGAGAGTTAGGTGAGATCAGAAGTAAAGAAATTACTGATGTTGTGTGTTGTTGTGTTGTTTCCAACTTGGTTTTGAATGGTGAGACTAGATTCTCACTAGTGAGTCCATTGAATCCATTAAAATCCTCATTGTTACATCAACTCACCTCATTGATATGTTCATTCCCATTCTCCCTCCCACCAGATAGAAAATAAATGGCGATAGTTCCCAACAGAGCAGTTGACTTCTGACAGACAAGTCAGAGCAGTTAGTTGGAGACTCCAGCTCGTCACTTGGACCTCTAGGCTTTCAACTCGGACACCAGGCATAAACATCTCAGGGCATATTCCATGGGTAACAACCATTGCACTTCACTGTCTAGCAGGCCATCCCGATCCTATCAAACTGACAGCTGCAAACACTTTATCAGGAGTATGGCTGGACTTCAATATAGTGCTGGTGTCAGGGCAGTCTTAACGATAGGCAGTGCTTCTGTGTGGGGCTGATAGGAAAATTCGACAAAGCATGGTCCCATATGGGCGAGGCACATGGGTTATGAAGTGAGTTTAGGAAGATAGCATGAGACAACATGCTAGAGCTTGCTGAGAGAAAACCACTATTAAACTCACCAAAACTGGCACAGCTGATTTCTGGTAAAATTTAGCCCCATGAGCCTTGTAGTAACCCTGATAACTATGTGCAAATCTGGATTTGTATCAAAGTTACAGTGATTGATCAGGAGAACTCTTGAGGAAATTCCCAGCATTTGTCGACCTTCATCATTCTATTCAGGTAGGCATTTCTACAAGTTGAAAACAGTACTGCTATCATAATATTTATACACAAAATTATGTAATTTTTTTTATTGTACCCCTACTAAATCTCTGTTTCAACTACATTTGTTTCCAACAGAAATAACCATAATAAAGTTTTTAAAAATCTGAGATCATCCTAGTAGGAAATATTAATAATCCAAAAAGAAGGAACTTCAATCTATTGGAATCAACATTTGCAGTCGGGAAACTTTCCCTTTAAGTGATTGTCACCCAGTTAGATACAGATTGAACAAATGATAGAATTCCACTGAAGTCTTTCATTATTTGTTATAATTTCAGGAAAAGTATACAGGCTAATAAAGGCCAAAAATTTAACATTCATTTAGCTCAGTGTCATATCTTGCTTTGTATGAAGTAACTTAGAATGTGTTACTACATAAACACAAGTTACTGGTCTTTAACCTACAAGTTTTCATCTCCTACATTTGAACTCATTTACTCCTTTGAGCATTGCTGTAGGGTCTGTTTGTTTTATCCATTTAAAATAAGCCCAGTGAATAAGCTAAAACAGATTTACCTTTGAAGATCCAGAAATGCCCCCAGGTTTCTATAGAGGACAGTTCCTATCACATAAACTGAAGAATCATCCGGCTCTGCAACATAAATACAGTTTTATCACTTACTTATCGACAACTGTTGGAAAGCAGAGACAAGTTGTTAAAAACAAGCTTAAACACAATTTCAAAGTGGTTAAAAACATCCCTCAAAAAGAAGTGAAGGCTTCTTATGATCATAGAAGGATATATTCTATGGATAAATTATAAAAAAGACTAGAAAATGTCATTAAGCAGTTCTCTTTCATGTCTGACCTTGAATAATCATTGTCAGGACTTGTTAAATCACATTGTCCACTTTGACAAATTTCAATTTTAGTCAAGTCCTTTAATTGTGATCTTGGATAGCTGAATGAAGCTTGAAGACTGCTCATTCCATCTACACTTCCTCTCTCTTCATACATGGCAACACCACCGTCGTATTCTCTAATACCTTCAATTTGTCCACTGATGGAGCAGGTCTAAACAAATTTTCTTAATTATTGCGAAGTGTTGAACTGGAATTACATACTTGGGAGATATGGAACTACCTATGCTCCTTCTATAATTCTTTCGTACCATTGTCCACAGCATATGATGCCAAATTTATTTGCATTTGTTACAGTCAAAAATATAAAAGCCTTCTTTAGACAACAGTAAAACGAACACTACCAATTAACTTTTAACTTTAAATTAACTTCAATTTTAAAACTGCAATATATGGTTAAATGAAAGGATGCAAGTTCAGTAGAATGCTTGCCACTGAACACATTTGTAGATTGATATCTCAATATAATATTGAGTGCTGCACTGTCAGAGGTACTGTCTTTTCAACCAGATATAAAAACAAGACCCTCTCTGCCTGTAAGAGATTCTGGGGTGACATGATTCCATGATCAGGTGAGTTCTCTTAGCCTCCTAGTTAATACTCACAACAGATTTTATAACTTATTTTCAACTGATTAGGACACAGAATTGAACACTCAACCCTTTTGTTTAAGTGTCTCAAATTGTACTCCAACTGGTGTCTGACCACAATATTGCACCATGTGTTTGTGCAAATGCCTACGTAAGATTTAAAGTAAGATTTAAATTCTATTGTCTTTTGATTTCTGCTGAGCATCTTTATTGTCAGCAACTTAAAACATTAGGACAAGGGAAATCAGTATACCAGCTCCTATTTATATCTAATCAAAGTTCAACCTGAAAATGAATGAACTTAGAAAGGGGAAAATTTTAATGCAATGAAAACTATTCATTCACTTGTAGGGGGAAATAGCCAGACTATTTCACTTTACCGGCCAGCTGACACTTGTCAATCATAAAAGGTAAAGTTGTCATGTCTTGCCAAACCATAGGGCTGCTCTCTCATTGGAGAAAGAGATAACTATTACTGGTTTAACCTAAGGGTCACTATGCTTCAGACGAGGGGAGAAGTTGAGAAGGAGAGTCCCTTATGGTAAACTCAGCTGGTGTGGGGATTGAACCCATGCTGATGGCATTATTCTGCACTACAAACCAGTCATCCAAGCTAACCGTATCCATATGCCAATAATACCACATAGGCCTAAGTCATTCGGAGAGAATGGGGTCACTCTTGCCCAGATTATTGTTTTACAGCCTACCAAGATTTACATTCCATTTACTTCAATGTATATAGAATCAGGTGAGCTTAAACATGCTTGCCATTTCTATCTGCCCTCCAGTTAGCGGCTGAAATTAAAATTGGGACCAGATTTTGTATCCCCATTCCAATTTCCTTCAAACATAAGCACAAAAGCATCAAGCCAACCTGACAATTAGCAGAAATTGAAAATGAAAGGTAGTTCTCACAGAAATCACATTGCAAAGGAATCTCGACTTTAACAGAAACAAAACAGTCCCAGTTCATCATGGATGTGCAAATTTCAAAAGTATCTTTACAAAAGGACTATGTTGGTTTGTCATTGAAAATGTTTGACATCTCTCTCCAATTGCTAATTCAGGAACATTCTATTCATGGCAGCACCAGACAGGAGCCCTCAAAGTAAATTTGACAATGGAAACCAATATATAGGCGGAATGCTATTGTCCCCAGATCTCAGGATAATGTTAAGGGCAATCAGGGCTTTATAACAAGAGATTTAATAAGCCCATATGTCAGTGCAAGAAGGCACTCTACAGCAGATAAAGGGGTAAAAAGAAAAGGAAGATTTTACTGAAAGATATCTGTGACAAAATAGCAATTTAAGTCATTTCAGTTTTTTGATAAATTAAACTGAGCAATGCCAAACCATTAAATGAAGCATAGGAGTACGCAGCATGTTTGTCAGCTTAGATCTGTTTGCATACATTTTAATTTAAAACTAGCACAAAATCTACCCCTGTGGACAGAATTTATCAGCTACTGAGATTTCCATTTTAATCACGGTCCAAATCTTTAGAGGTTTCAGGATGTTTGGAGGCCAGAAGTATGATTGAGGGTGTATGTTGAGACCTTGAGAAAGTCCGGATGCATGGACAGAAATGAAAATTGTTTGGGAAATTTTGACTTTTGATACACATTTCCATTGCTCTGCAGGATGCTTGAGTCATAGATTTCAGAGATTCCAATGGTAGGTATATCGCTGGATTGTTACATGTTACATACATTAGAAGGACCCCATTCTGCCCACTGTGTCAGCTCTGACTCTTTGAGCATTTTGGATTAGTACCAACCTCCTGCCTTCCTTGATATTCCTCCTGCACATTAATTCTATTTAAATAATCATCTAATTCCCTCTTGAATGCCTCAATCGAATCTACTTTCACCACATTTCCAGGCAGTTTGTTTCAAACTTGGACCATTTGCAGTACAACTTTTGTGTTCACCCTTCACATTTGCTTCTTTTGCAAACTACCTGAAGATTGTATGGTATGGTTCTTGCTGCTTTCTATGAGCAGGAACCATTTCTGGCTACCTATTCTAACCAGCCTTCTGCTCTCCAAGGGAAACAAATCCAACTTCTTCAACCTATCCTCAAAATTGAAGTTTCTCGCCCATGGAACCATTCTCATACACTTCTTCAGCACTCTATTCAATGCATTCACATCCTTCCAAAAGTAAGGTACTCAGTTGAGGTCTAACCAATGTTGTATGTAAGTTCAGCGTAATATCCCTGTTCTTGCCCTTATAATGAAGTTGGAATACAATATGTTTTATTAATAACTCTCTCCATGTTTAATGAGTTATAAACATATACAGGTCAGTTCTCTCTGCTGTGGCACATCTTTTAGAATAGTACCTTTTATTTCAAACAACTCTCCACATTTTTATACCAAACTGTATTACCTCATACTTGTCTGCATTGAACTTTATCTGCCACTTCTCTGTTGACTCCACCAACTTGTCAACGTACTTTCAAAGTTCTACACTTTTCTCCTCAATGTTTACAATGCTCCCAAGTTTTGTGTTATCTGCAAACTTTGGAATAATCCCCTATCCACCAAGATCTAAATCATTTAAATATATTGGGAAATATATACTAACCATATATATACAGTTCAAATACCGATCCCTGGGGAACTACACTACAAAATTTCCTTCAGCCCAAAAATGTCCATTAATCATTACGCTTTGTTTCCTATCCCTAAACCAATTTTATATCCATGTTGCTACTCTCCATTATGCTCCATGACCTATAACTTTCTTCATAAGTCTGTGTGAAACACTAGATAAATTGTATTGAAATCCAGGTACATCACATCAACAGCTTTCGACTTATTAACCCTCTCTCTTACTTTAAAAAACCTCCGCACATAAGAAACAAATTTCCTTAACAAAATCAGGGCAGCATGGTGGCTAACAGTAACAGGGACCTGGGTTTGATTCTAGCCTCAGGCGACTGTCTGTGTGGAGTTTTCACATTCTCCCCTTGTCCAAAGATGTGTTAGTTAGGTGGATTGGTCATGCTAAATTGCCCAGAGTGTGCAGGGATGTGCAGGCTATGTGGGTTAGTCATGGGAAGTACAGGTTTATAGAGATAAGATAGGAGGGTGGGTCTGGGTGGGATCCTCGTCGGAGGGTCAGTGTGGACTTGATGGGCCAAATGACCTTCTTTCATACTGTAGGGAATCTATGAGTCTAAATTCATTCAGACCCATCTGAATTAACACATATTTTTTGACATAACTATTAATTCTAATCCGAATAATTTTTTTCAGAAGTTTGCCTACCACTGACTTAAACTGACTGGTCTATAATTGCTGGAACTATGCTTATAACCTTTTTGATCTGAGAAGTAATGTTTTCAATTCACCAGTGCTCTGGTACTACTCATGAAGCTAGGGAAGATTGAAAGATAGTTGCCAGTGCCTCTGAAAATTCTTAAACTTCCACTATCCCAGCCTTTATATTGGTAATAAAACTCTTCTAATATAACTACCCTCTGCCGTTTATATCTCCCAGTAATTTTCTTGCAAAATTGTTCCGCTATATTTTTCCCACTAGTTGGTGATATTATATTGAGCAAAGTAATTGCAACTTTCTTACTTCTTGGATTTAAACAAATAGATTCTCTCCAAGAACCCTCTGAAACTTAGTTTTTTTATCCGATACTGTAATGTTCCCCTTAACCAAAAAACATCAGCCCTTTTGTTTTAGAGATAGTGGGAACTGCAGATGCTGGAGAATCTAAGATAACAAGGTGTAGACCTGGATGAACACAGCAGGCCAAGCAGCATCAGAGGAGCAGGAAAGCTGACATTTCGTCCCAGACCCTTCTTCGGAAATGGGGGAGGGGATGGGGGTTCTGAAATAAATAGGGAGAGAGGGGGAGGTGAATAGAAGATGGATAAAGGAGAAGAGAGGTGGAGAGGAGACAGACAGGTCAAAGAGGCGGAGATGGAGTCAGTAAAGGTGAGTGTAGGTGGGGAGTTAGGGAGGGGATATGTCAGTCCAGGGAGGACAGACAGGTCAAGAGGGCGGGATGAGGTTAGTAGGGAGGAGATGGGAGTGGGGCTTGAGGTGGGAGGAGGGGATAGGTGGGAGGAAGGACAGGTTAGGGAGGAGGGGACAAACTGGGCTGGTTTTGGGATGCGGT